GAGAAGGTAAACAAAACCCAAGACTTCAATTCTAAGACTTGAGAAAAAAACCTTTGGTTTTTTCCAGTGGTCAAGAGGTCACTTGAGAGCCTTTCCTTTCAGTGAAGGAATGTCCTATCTCATATTAAAAACTCATATTATCGCAGAGGCGCATGGTTCGAATCCACCAGATGCTCTGCCGGGGAAGGAGGGTCAATCTCCTCCTGTACCAGTCAGATCTGATTTGACAGTACACTCACACACACACACACAAAAAACCAAAAAAAAACAAAAACCCAATTCATTTTAAAAACTCTTCTTTAACACCACAACTCAAAGGTATCAACTCTCCTTCTGTTACCCTTATTCATCATCCAGCTCTCATCACGCATGGGAAATGACTGAAAAGATCGGAGCCTGAATCAAACACACCTCAGTATTCAAACTGACAGGACTGCTCCTCAGTAAATTGGAGAGGTCCCTCACTGCAAACTTTCTCAATGCAATACAATCATTTCCCAATGCACATTAAGGCATAGGAACGAAATATAGCTCATCTCTCAAGAAATACTGGCTATCGTTTAGCAAGCATTCTAGTACACTTTTCTTTTCTTGTTGGGTACCATCAAATCAGATCTGACTGGCACAGGAAGAGACTGCTTCTCCCTCCCCAGCAGAGCATCTGGTGGATTCACTAGTACATTTTTAACATAATATCAGCTCATTTATTCCTAACAATAATAGCAAGAACTTCTCTTATTTTTCAGATAAATATTCAGGTTCTAAGAGGCTCACATTTCGAGGGTCAGTTGCATTAGTTCAAGTGACTACAACTGTGGTCCTAGTGGGTCTACAATCTCCTGACTGGGTCTTATGAGTTCTTCAGTGTTGTCTGTAGCTATAAACCATTATCAGCAAGCAAGTCTTCTACTAGCCTAGCAGCCTCCTCACCTTTGGACATTCAGTCTCACCTTGTTCACAGTGGAACCCAACTGTGCCTGCATCGCTGGCTCCTATGCCTACACCAGCTTCTACAAACGTGGAGATCACAATGCATCTCCTGCAAGAAGAGCTATTTCTTTGTATACCAATGAAAGAATTTTACTTTTACTTTTCAAAGAGAGGCATGAACTGGGGGGGAGGGCTGGGCAGGGAGAAAAGTGCAACAGAGAATGAATGAAAATCCAAAATCTCTGTAAATGTTCATTAAAATTAATAAAATAAAAATTTAAAAAAAAAAAAAAGAGCTACTGCTTTGAACCCACTGCAGCCAGTGCTACATCCACAAAGGGCCAGGGGACACGAGCAGCTGCTGCGCCTGATGTGGGAGAATCCCGCACCCAGACATCAACAGATCAACCTGTATGAAACAGGGCTTTGTTGGGTTTTCTTTTTCTTCTTCCCTAAGCTGTTTGCTAGGAAGCTCTGGTGGCCCAGTGGCAAAAAACTGTGCTGCAATCCTGAAGGTACAAGGTTCAAGGCAACTAGTTGCTCCCGCAGGAGAAGGATAGGCAATCTCCTCCTGTGCCATTAACTGCCTCTGAAAACCCACCAGAGGGTCAGCTGTGGGTCGGTTCCGACTTGATGGTACTTAACAACAACAAGCTGTTTGCTATCAATCTTCTTATTTCTTTAATGAAATATATGAATAATAATAATAAATAGTGCTGACTTTAAGAAGAACTCTGGTGGCCTAATTGTAAAAACCTGCACTGCAATCCCAAAAGCATGCAGTTCAAATCCACTGGCTGCTCGGCGGGAGAAGGATGGGCAATCCTCTTGCCTCTGAAAGCTTGCTGGAGGGTCAGCTCTAAGTCCAACTTAGTGGCACGTAACAACAACAAGCTATTTGTTACTAACCTTCTCTTCTATGATATATATATTAATAATAATAAACAGTGTTTAAGAAAATTATCTACTATAAACTCTGCTAATCAATCCTGATATATACACATATATACATATACATACATACATATATATATATATGTATATATCAGGATTGATTATCAGAGTTTATAGTAGATAATTTTCGTAAACACTGTTTATTATTATTAATATATATCATATCATATATGTATGTATATATCAATACCATAGCTTGAGATGTGAGAGGAGCGGGAGGTCAGAGCACACAGAAATGATTTAGGAAGGCGTGGAGCTGCACTTCTGGGGTGGAAATGACTGCAGGCAGTCCTCCAGGATGGACGGGAACGAACGGCAGAAATGAGAAAGGCGGGAGAGAATGGGGGGCAGGGACTTTACACTGTGGTCGCCTGAAAGCTACAGTGCCTGTTGTGCAAACCCGTCCTCATCCGGAAATAAATCCACAACCAAAGCTGCAGGCCAGAGAATAAGGGGGGAAAACCACTTCTGGTTATGCACTTTGAACATTTATCCAAAAATTACAGAATGTGTGAGTACAAGGAACGTTCACCACAGCACTGTTTAAAAAATTCAAAAATTGAACAATTAAAATAGCCAGCAATAGGAAATGGATTAACTGAAAGAAGATAGGTTCATTCTATACCACAGTCATTGAAAGGACAGAGTTGAGTACTGCGTACTGACCGGGAAAGTTTTCAAGGTGTGCAAAATGCAAGCTACCAAGCACATTTGTGTTATGCTGTCATCTGTAGGGAAACGAAACAAAACTATACACGTGTGTGTGTGTGTGTGTGTGTGTGTGTGTGTGTGTGTGTGTGTGTGTTTGTGTGTGTGTGCTGCCTAAGTGTACACAAAATATAAGAGGATAAACACCCTAATCATATTATGATTATTTCTGGGGACGAAAAAGCAGGATGAACAACTGTGTTAAGACAGAGCAGAGTCTGCAATCCCAGAGGTGCACAGTTTGAATCCATAAGATGCTCTGCCAAAGAAGGAGGAGCAATCTCCTCCTGTACCAGTCAGATCTAATTTGACAGTACACGCACACACATGAATAATAAAAAAATTTTTAAAAAAAGACAGAGCAGAGTGCAGCCACTATGGAAGGCAGTCTAACGTTTTCTCAAAAAGTTGGAAATAGAAATAACATTTGACCCAGCAATTCCACTACTGGGAATATACCCTAAAGAAACCTGAACTGCCAGCCAGCTCAGGGGATGGGGTGTTTGGTAAGGTTTTTTTTCTGCTCCCCCCATTTAAAAACTGCCTAGGTAAGAGATGTCTTTTCTGCACACCCATGTTTATTGTGGCTCTGTTCACAATAGCAAAGAGTTGGAAACAACCCAAGTGCCCATCAATAAATGAATGGAGAAGCTGTGGTATATTCACACAATGGCATACTATGCTGCACTGAAAAACAAGAAACTCATGAAATATACAAAATGAGTTACCATGGAGGACATTATGCTAAGTGAAATATCTCAGTCACAAAAGGACAAATACTGCATAGTGCCACTGTTGTAAAATGGGACTGACATCGGGGTTGGGGGGAACCTACCTAAGAAAAGGGGATAAATAATGTATACAACATTCAAACAGATGAGAAAGATAACTGTTTAAAAGGAATATATGATTAGGTATTATTTTCATGACAAGATTCCAGAAAAAGAAATGCATAGTAAAGTGGACTGTGGTCTGAGGGGGCAGGGGAAGACTGTATAACAATGAAATAATTTTTTTTTTCCTTTTCAAAGAGAAAAGTGAACTGGAGGAAGGTTTGGGCAGGGAGGAAAATGTGCAACAATGAATGAATGAGAAAAAAAAATTAAATGGGAAGAATATGCTGTTAAGAAAAATAAAATGACAGAGCAGAAGCTACCTAGGGCCTCCAAAGCGGTAACCTTTAAGGAAAGAAGCCCTGGTGGTGCAGTGGCTGCACTGTGCCAATGGAAAGTTTGGGGGTTTGAACCTCCTATTCCACAGAAGAAAGATGTGGCTTCTGGAAAAGTTTATAACACTGGAATCTAAATATGGAGGGCAGTTATACAGCAGAGGGGTTTTTATTATTACTAATTAAACAGTAAGAAGCAAAAACTGAGGGAGGTCTGGTGGCCTAGTGGCAAGAAGCTGCACTTCAATTCTAGATGCGCATGGTTCGAATCCATGAGATGCTCTGCTGGAGAAGGAGGGACAATCTCCTCCTATATCAGTCAGATCCAATTTGACGGTACATTCACAAAACAATACAATTAAAAAAATTTTTTTAAAAGAAGCAAAAAATGTATTTTCTTCAATAGCACCTCTCTCACATTAGGGAAAGTAAGAGCAATTTTTTATTGAAGCACTGTGCTAAGCATTTTACTTAGATGATCTCAATTAACTTTCAAAACAAGCCTTTTGGTAGGGGTGGGGAGTCTAGCTGGGGGGAAAATGGTGCTACTGAGTTGCTTAGGATTGTGAGAGATTAGGGACCAGGCCAATTTCATGCTATTTAGCAAGTGAGAGACTGGGAATCAAACCAGCTCCACCTAACTTGGAAGCAGGAATTTTTGCCACCAAAAATATTCTTCTACACAGCTTGCTTAACCGATCTCCTGCTGCTGGATAATCTGATAGTTGCTAATTTTTCTCTGTTATGAACAGTGCTACAGTGAACATCCTTACAGCTAAAGGTTTGTGACGGCCTTCCTGATGGGCAAATTCTGGTTCTCAGCCCATCTGTGCTGAGGAACCCAACCTTTTTCATTTTCAACCCATCATAGACCAACAGTTTTGTAAAATACAATGAAAATGAATGTTTAGAAATACTAAATGAATCTGCCACAAAACTTTCAAAATGTTTACCATCAATATCTGTACATAAAATGTAGCAGAGGGAGAAACATTGGTTTGAAGACTGAGCCCAAGGTGTGGATTGCATGTGAGTGATGCTGCTTCACACGGCTCCTGTCAGACTGCATGACCATCACCTACTTGCCTAGTTTCACCCCTCGCCACAGACTATGATCTCCACCCATGTCTGCTTCCTTACTGAACGCTCTGGTGCAGAGCTGAGGGTACGTCTGCGGATCCTGTGGATGGAGGAGTGTCCACTGTGTCTCCAGCCAGGACTGCTGAGAGAGGCTGCTCACCATTTGGGACCAACAGGAGGCTTTTCACAATACTTCTGAGCGGGCCAAGGCTGATCTGATTGGTCGTGGCAAACTCTGAGAGCTGAGCCAGAAACTTCTCCACCTGTAGAGATGGAAGGTTACAAACCAAGTACATTCTAGGCATCTCAGGACCCTAGACCCCAACAACCAACCCCCTCAGGAACTCTCCTTATCACAAAACTCTTTACCTCTTTCGGCTCAGTGAGGAAGTTGAAAACCACTTCTGTCAGGGCTGAAAATTGCTGTGAAGAGAGTATCACAGAAAATCAGTAACATTTCTACTTTTGTGTCAATTATTCAACATCTCATCCAATCACAGACCCTCGAGAAATGAGAAAATAGTGTATGTATCAACACCTTGCAAGGTTCATACTCAGCCCTGACAGCTTATTTCTCTTCCTTTTTCACAATGGTTGCTCTTCAATGTTGTTGTGATGTGCCACCGCGTAGCCTAGGACTCACAGCTAGCAATCCTAAGTACAACAGCTCTGAACCGCCCTATCCTGAACCAACCTCATTATCTCTGACACACCTACACCCATTACCCAGTCATTGTGTCAATCCACCTCATTCATGCAGGGTCTTCCTCTCCTGTGCTGACCTTCCACCCTTCCAAGCATGATGTTCTTTTCTAAGGACTGGTCCCTCCTGGCCATGTATGGGACGGAAAAGTATGTCAGACGGAGCTTCAAAATCCTTGCCTCCAAGGAGCAGCTTGATTTCACTCTTCAGGACAGACCTGTTTGTTCTCCTATCAGTTTGTCGTATATTCAATACTCTTCTCCAGCCCCACAACTCAAAGGTATTAATTCTTCTTCTGTCATCCTTAGTCATTGTCCAGCTCTCTGATGCAGAGCAAGTAATTGCAAAGACCATGGCCTGAAACAGCACCTTAGTCTCTAGACTGACATCATTGCTCTTTTACACTTTGGAGAGGTCCCTGACAGCAGCTTTTCCCAATGCAATTTGTCTTTTGATTCTGACTGCTGGTGCCAAGAGTGTTGGCTTATCAACAGCCATGAATTAATTCTATCACAGGTTTTTATACTTTATGTATAGGAAAACTAAACCATGAGTAGAAAACAGTATTTGTACTATTTTATGTATTTTTGAACCCAGAGCTTACTTAACATTTTATGACATAAAGACTCTCATATTATATTACTAAAAAATCATTTTAAGTATAAATTATATGATGCCATTGTTTTAAAATATACTTCTGAATGTAGCCATGCCATTCCAGAACACCAATCTACAAAACTAGAAGCTAATAATGAGTGTTCTTTTAATAACACATAGGACATTGTCATATTAAAACATGTAGATTTTCATAAGAACAGGTTAATATCTACTTTGATCATTTTAAATTTACAGATGTTCAAAATACCCATCATAAGTGTCAATATATCATTTGAAAAACTTGTACATTTTACTGGAGCATTTGGGAGACATCTATTAAGACACACACACAAGCCTGTGGGGAGAAATTATCAGAACATGAATAGCAGTTACTCCAGTGGGATTTTGGATGATTTTATTTTCTTCAGCCTTGCCTATTTGTTTTTTCTGAGACTTCCTTATCCCCTAACATGTCAATTTTAACATCTCACTCCACACTGTCTTTAGCAGCTTGTAAGTGGTTTTGGTGTGTTAATCTCTCTTCCTTATTGGTACCATAGTCTCACTTTTCTATGTACATTCCTGAACTGTGGCATGGCAGAAATTAACAAAGCACTCCAGACTCGAAAAGATCCAGATGTGAACTGTGTTCTGCTATCAACTGGTCAAGTGGCCTTGGGCAAGTCACTTAGCTTCCCTGTTTCAGTTCCTGGAGAAAAATGAGCTAATAAAATGCAACTTCTGGAACAGTATTCAAGAAAGCACACACAACAGAAATCTCAGGCCAGGTGGCAGCTACATTAGCCAGGAATACGCAGTCACGCTACACCATTTCATCCACTTCCGTGGAGGAACACACTACCTAAAAAGCAAGAAAAGACTATGCAAATCTTCCAACGCACAGTCCTCAAAGCTGTCTGTAGTGTGTCAAACACATATGCTTCTCTGCTATGCTAAACTCCACTCCACGCAGACCACCTTAGGGCTCTGTATTCTAAAATACAGTTTATTTTTAAAATAGAAAGCTAGTTTTAAAAAAATTGAAATACACAGGCATAGGGATTTGTCGGGTTATTTTGGTGGTGGTTGTTTTTTATTTCCTCTTTCTCCTCATCTCTAGTCTCCCTTTGCACAGAAGTTACTGCTCATACCTTCTATAGTGGTCTGTCATTTCATTTTTATTTCAGTGTATTTCAGACACACATGAGACCATTCTGAATTCTTCCTGTGCATCCCGCCTTTTCCTATTTAATTGTATCTTAGAAATCAATCCATGCCAGCAGATAGAAATGACCTGTTTCTTTTAAGGACTAGATCTAGTAAACAGTAAGCCAGCTGTCACTGAGTCATTTCTGGCTCATGGTAACCTCAGAGGAGCACCGTGTTCCTCAGCGTTTTTAATGGTTATAATATTTCAGAAGGAGTTTGCCAGGACTTTCTTTTGAGGTGTCCCTAGGGGATCTCTCTTCTTACCTTTGTTCCACCTAGGAACTATACATATTCATATTCATATCATACATATTCAGCATAATTAAACTGGCTCTCAGTGGAGGCAAAGGATGTGAGACAAAGCCTCATCATCCTTGCCTCCAACAAGCACTATGGCTGCACCTTCTTCAAGATTCATAAAAATATGGAACGCTTCACGAATCTGCATGTCACATCCTTTATGACATGTTGTTAGGAAACGTTATTCCATGCCTGGAAAGGTGGAGAGGCAGCAAAAGAGAGGAAGACCCTCAACCAGGTGGCTTGACACAGTGACTGCAGCAAGAGGTTTGAGTGTGTCAGAGATTGTGAGGATGGCATAGGAGAGGGCAGGGTTCATATCTGATGGTCACAGAGTCACTATGAGTTGTACTCGACTTGATGACACCTAATAACAATCTGTTGGCCTAGTGGATAGAAAGTTATGCTACCAAGCCAAATGTGGGTTATTTTAATGTGCAGCCCTCAGGCCTGGTTTGAATTGTTTTTGGTCAAACATTCTTCTAAGTAGTATAGCACTAGTCTGTCCATTTGCTGCACAGAGGTAACTTGTGGTGGCTGTGATGATAAACACTGTGACACTAATGTGTCAAATGCAATAATGGTCACCCACGATGGACAGTGTTTGGTGGAGCTCCCCGATTAAAACAAGCTTGGAACAAGAGTGGCATCCACTTCTGAAACAGCTTGCCTCCAGAAACCCTAAGAACCTGGAGAAATGATTAAAGTTATACAAGCGTTCAGGTCTTTTATTCACAGGGTCGCTATGAGTCATCTCGACTCCACAGCACTTAAAAACAACAACAGATGGAAATGAATATCTATTGCTATAAACAACATGGCAATGAATATCTTCGCACACACTTAAGTTCCTTTACAAGCACACCCATAAGAAAATGAATTCTTAAATGTATCCTGGTTCTGAGGATACACACAAATTAAATTTGGAAAAAATGCTGCCAAAGTGTCTTGCAAAAAAGTTACACTGATTTACACTCCCATGAGTCAATCACATATAAAGGTTTGCTTTCTCAACTGTCATCATTGCTTTGTACCTCTTTAACCAAATTTGACCTATGGGTTATCCTTCTACACTGTTAGGATAGTGTATACAACCTCTGTGATGGTTAACGTTGGGTGCCGATTTAGCTGCTTATGATTTTGTAGCTTGGCAATTTTCATGTAGTCATTCCCTTGATGGGTTCTGCTGTGATGTAATCATTCCCTTGATGAGATCAGCTAAAAACAGCCAATCGGCTGAAAGAGAGTTACACTGGGGGTATGGCCTACACTGAATATTTAAAGATGTCTAGTAAATCTGGATTAGCTTTTTTGCTCAGTCTGGCTCCTCCTGCATCTGGCTCATTACCTTCAGTTCTTGGACTTGAACCAGTAACCTGCCTTATGTGCCAACCTTCAAATCATCCATCAGCCTCTACAGTGATGTCAATCAGAAGAAGCATTTCAACCCAGGAATCTGAGACTTGCCAGTCTCAAGCATGTGAGTAACTTTTCTGGAGATAAAATCATCTCTCTCAAAAACAAAACAAACAAACAAACAAACAAAAAACCAAAAAAACCAATAAAAACCCACCCCATACCCAATCTCTCTAAGAGGGTGAAACCAGGCTCCTCCTTGGAGGCAAAGATTCAGAGGCTTCATCCAACATACTTTGGACATGCTGCAAGGAAGTAACAGTCCTTGGAGAGGGACATCATGCTGGGGAGGAGCGTGGAGGGATAGCACAAGAAAGGAAGACCCTCAATGAGATGGACTGACTCAGTGACTGAGGTAATGAGGGTAGGTGTGTCAGAGACAAAAAGGTTGACTTAGGATAGAGCAGATTTCAGGGGTGTTGTACAAAGGGTCACTATTAGTTGCAAGCGACTCAACAGCACATAACAACAACAACATAGTAAAAGAGAAGGCTCTTGATGTCTAGTAGGTAACTGGATTTGCAATGTCAACCCAAATGTTCGCAGTTCAAATCCATCAGCTATTCCTTGGGACAAAGATGGGAAAGTCTGTCCCATGTGATTTACCGTCTCTGAAAACCCTCTGAAGGCTCAGATATGAATTAGTTCCAACATGGTGGCACCTAACAACAACAACAACAACAATATATGGTAAAAACAAAGAGTCAGAACTGGTCTAAGGATATGTCTCATGGGAGCTCTGGTGGCCTAGTGGCAAGAAACTGCACTGCAATCTCAGAGGTGGTGGTTGTTGTTATGTGCTGTCGAGTCGCTTGCGACTCATAGCGACCCTATGTACAACAGCCCTAAACTCTGCTCTGTCCTGTGCTAATTGCACTGCCTCTGATACTCCGATCTCCATTATCCCAGTCACTGAATCAATCCACCAAATAGAGGGTCCTCCCCTCCTGCGCCGTCCCTCCACCCTCCCAAGCATGATGTCCCTCTCCAAGGACCGGTCTCTCCTTACAACATGTCCAAAGTATGTTAGACGGAGCCTCAGAATCCTTGCCTCCAAGGAGCCTCCTGGTTTAACCCTCTCCAAGATGAATCTGTTTGTTTTCCTAGCAGTCCATGGTATCCTCAATACTCTTCTCCAGCACCATAGCTCAAAGGCATCAATTCTCCTTCTATCCTCCTTATTCACTGTTCAACTCTC